AACTTTAAGATGTGTGGGCTTCAATTCCCAGAATTCTGTCATGCAGGCTGGGGAATTCTGGGAGTTGAAACCCCCACATCTTCTCAAAGTTGTCAAGGTTAAGAAACAAAGCTTTCATGTACTGTTCTGTCTGGCACAGCTATGCCAAATTAGGCATAGGTAAAAGAGCAGAAAGTGGTTTACTGACAGCACTATCTACCAAATCATATACTGTATCAAAGCAGATATCCAGGTTGTTCATATTAAAATAACATCAAGTGTCTTTCTTATAACTGGTAGAGACAACATGTTTGTTTGTTTAATTGATTGACTGACGGTCTTAAGGGATATATTTCTTCTGCCATAATTCTAGCTCACAGAAGCAGTGATGATCCATAAAAAGTTTGTAAAATGATTTTAAAAAATTTAAAAAAAAACCTTAATTCTTGTCATCATAAACCGCTCCATAATTTATATATAAAAAAAATCAATCCAGTCTCTGGGTAGTGTTATATTCCAGCTACCATATATTAATCTATATATATAAAAGCTAAATACCACTCACTCATCACAAAATCTCCAGAACGGTAAAGCTTACAAACTTGATATTTGGCTTGTATGTTTCTCTTGGCTTCTAGATACTCGCTAAGAAAGGATTTTTCAAAATGACCATTAATCATTAGTATTTCATATACGGTATTATATTCACATACTCTGATGCTAAGGAGCTAGACATTCTATTTCCCCGCCCCACCTGAAAAGAACTCTGTTCCAACTGCCAGTTGCCTTATATTAACATGCTCTGATACTACCCCTTCGGTAAACCGGACAAGGGTGTGGCCAGCACATGACTCATCCAGCCTGTGGGCTGGGACATTCTACTCCCCCTCCCCCTCTGTTCCAACTGCCAGTTGCTTTATATTAATACGCTCTAATGCTATGGTGTTACACATTCTACATTAACTTTCAGGCTTTAAGTGTCAATTTATCACGCCCAATCATATAGTTTCGTAGCAAAGCATGGGCATCCAGCTAGTCTACATGTATATGTACATTTCCCCATGCAAATAATAATAATTTTGTTGACTGATTATGATTTTGAAAAAGTTATAGTTTGTATAGACAATATACAATACAGTATTTAACTGATTAGAAATAGTGTGCCAGTTTCTCTTGCTTCATTGATGTGCTAGATAATATATATCATTCAAGCATTGTCCATTTCAGCCAGAACTGTGGGGTCTATTAGGCAACAGAGAAGTGGGGCTCTTATCAAAACTAAATGACAGAAGATACTGAATATAAATATTATTAAGCAACTGCAGTGCATAGCTATCACAATATCCAGTGAATATCCAAATTCTTGGCTGAAGCCCAAGAATAGATTTACATCTGCAACAGATATCATGCAGACATTTATTTATACATTTGTTTTCCAAAAGTATGGGCAAAGTGTGGCAAATTTGAATCACGTTTTGTAAAACTGAAAAGATAACTTTGGACCGAGATGCTCAACAGAATTGGTCAGATCATCAATTATATTTTCTTCGGGGAGAAAAATCTGTGTTTGAAATAATCTTCTTTACAATCTGATCTGAAGATGACCCATTGATTTTAAACCACAAGAATAGAGCCTGGACTAATTTGAAATTTAATATTTCCACTGCCATATTCTGGCTATAGATGAGTAAAGGTTGGGATCATTTTTTTTAAAAAATGTAATTCATCGCCTGACTTTAGCTGAGATAGGAATTTCTTATAAACCCCATAATATTGATTGACAGCATATAAACTACGGCTGCCCAGTGCTTGAAGGAACAGAGGTGCAAGACACCAAGATGTTTTAAGGCAGCAGCTGTTTATAGCTCTTGAAAGTGTCTGTCTCTTTCTCCTGGATTCCACAGCTGTTCTCCACAGCTGCAGTTGCACCCTTGGCAAAGATGCCTTTGAAGAGTTGCAGGGTGGGGTTACGTTTGTGTCTCCACCCACCTTGTAGCCCCTTGCCCCCATTCCCTCCCAAATCTGAAATGGTGCATAGTCCTAATATAAATCCTAGGACTAGGATGATGATGATGATGATGATTGGTTAATCTTTAGTGAGATTCACAGCCTTTAGAATCTCTTTAGTGAGATTCTGAGCCTTAATAGCTCAGCAGCTCGAGTCCTAACCAAGGACCTAGGAACTGTTAAGGTATCGTCAGAGGATGTAAGCTGTTCCGAGTAAGGTGGTTTTTTGTAGAGTCAAAATGTTCAAGTCCGGCAAATTTAGAATTTCTAAATAGCGGGGTAGCCCTTTGGGTATTGCTCCAAGGGCTCCAATTACAATCAGGGCAACACACAATTTTTTTTTCCACAGTCGCTCAACTTCAATTTGCAAGTCCCGGTACTTTGTGATTTTTTCTTGCTGCTTATCTTCAATCCGTGCATCACCAGGTATTGCAATATCAATGAACCATACTTTTTTGTTTTCAACTATTGTTATGTCAGGTGTGTTGTGGACCAAGTGTCTGTCAGTCTGAATCCTAAAGTCCCACAAGATCTTGAGTTTCTCATTCTCTAAAACTTTCTCAACCTGATGTTCCCAGTGATTTTTGCTGTACTCAAATCCAAACTTCTGGCATAATTTCCAGTGAATGATCTTAGCAACACAGTCATGGCATTGTAGGTAGTCAGTTTGTGAAATTTTGTTGCACCCACTGATCAGGTGGTCGACTGTCTCATCTTTCTCATTGCAGAGGCGGCATTTGCTGTTGGTGGTAACATGTTGAATTTTTGCCTTCATGCAGTTTGTGGCTAGGGCTTGTTGTTGTTGTTGTTGTTGTTGTTGTTGTTGTTGTTATTATTATTATTATTATTATTATTATTATTATTATTTGCTTTCCTCATTTTCTAAAATATGGTAAGTGGTAGCTAAGGGAACAGAATGCCCCAGTAATGGTCAGCTCAGCACAGTGAATCCAGATTTTCTGTTTATTTGGCATTGGGCGATGTCCAACTAGAAATGTGCACATCTGGTTTTCTGCTGACTGCTGTTAGGATTTACTCCATGATATTGTTTCAGTCAAAGCTTAGCCCATGAAAAATACAAACAGAAACAAATCAATATAATAATATAGAATTAAAATTCCATGCCCTGATGGAGATCATGCTGATATAGCTGTTTTAACATTGTTTAATGTTTGGTATTTATAGCTTTTTTAAAAAATGCTTTAAAATATCATACTGCTCCAAAGGTCTCTAGAATAGAAGAATGAGTTATACATTTCAGTAATAATAGTAATAATCATAATGAATATCGTTTAGCTGAGATTTCTTGAGTGGCTAAGCGCATATGTGGTGTAGGAAGGACAAACAATGCCTTGAAGATTTGAAGGTCATAGGCATGTTTGGCAATTTATTGCTTTATTATTGTATTTTGGAGGTATTTTTTTTAACCTGTAATATGGCATAAAAATGTAGTAAATAGGTATTATTTCTAATACCAGTAAAATGGTAACTATTTTGAATTCTATTGATAATGATGGTCTTGGGACAGGGATGAAATGCTACCAGTTCGTACCAGTTCAGCTGAACCGGTAGCAATGGCAACACGTGGTTCGGAAAACCGGTAGCGGCAGAAGTGCGAGGCTCTGCCCAGCCGCCCAGATGTTGTTACTTCCTGGTTTCAACCAGGAAGTAACCTGTTTTTGACCTTCTGCGCATGCGCAGAGGGTCCAAGCGTGCATTATTCGAGCATATGTATGGGGGTTTTTTTTTCTAAAGGATGAAAAATATGTGAGTGTGTTTAGGTGTATTCCAAAACTATCCTCATTTCCTAATCTTTCATTAAAGAGGAACTGCATTTCCTAATTACCTACATACTAGCTGTGTCAAAGTTGTGTTAACAAAAGCTTAAAGTTAATGGTGGCTCATTATTCCCCCAGCTATCAAATCCTGTTCCCTAGGGAATATTTAACTAGAAGCAGCCATTTAAATGTTGCCTATACACCCCATCGGAAATTCTGGATATACAGACGGTATCTGAGCATTAGAAAAATACATACAGACTCTGGGAAATGTCTGATCTAATTAAGGGATAGTAAACCCATCCCTTAAGCAACGCTGCATATTTCTGGCTTGCATTTGAGCACAGATGCTGCAAAGGTTTACCATATTCAATCCTGAGACAAGCTTCCATGTTCTTATGACACAGGGACCTTGTCTATTGGTTCCCCAGGGTAAAGACAATCACGAGCATGGCAGTAGGCAGTCATTGATGTCTGTGTCAAATGGAGAATGGGCAGTTTCACTGTCCTCCCACTTGCCATAAAGCAATCATTTCTGGATTTCTTCCTCCCATATGTAATGATTTTTTTAAAAAAACACAAAACCATAATCTCTGATTAGTTAATGGAGGTCAGGAGGGGAATACCTGGAGCAGAGTTAACTTTGTCAACTCACTTTTTCTATAATCAGAAAAGAGAACAGCCTGGGGGAAGTAGCTGAGGCAGAGCTGTTTGGGGGTAAAACTAAGTTCATCTAGCCCACCTACTGCGATTAGATTTAGCTAGTCATAACATATGCTACCCTTCCTTTGACCCAGTAAATCACAGCCACGGAAACAAGGGCACTGTTTGGCTCTAAAGAGCAGCATTTATTGCAGCATCAGACTCTTCCTAGGTTAGGGAACTAAGACTGAGTTACCGCAAGCTGACATTCTTCACTCATCCATGGCCCTAACCTCAAATAATTCTGATGGTTAATGGGAAGTGAATTGGCCTGGAAAGCTGCTGAACCATTTCAGAAATTTGGGGAAGCCTAGCTCCATTTGTTTTATTAGACTACTCCCGAGGATCACTCAATATCATATCTGCTGGGGCTTTTTATGGGAAATCACAACATTTTAAGGGGGTATGTCTGTAACCTATAACTTAGTCATAGGGACGCAGCTCATCATTCAGAGCAGAATCTACTATGCTGGGTTTTTTAATGTTAATTTTAACCCTTCTCTGCACAGCATCACCATTTTGGTTACTTTTCAGAATTACTAATCTCTGATATCTTCTGATGTGGAGTCTCCTCCCCCCCCCATCACCTATTTTGCAAAATCTTGCGGCTGGTAAGGCGTTTTTTAAAATTGAATAAAGACTTCAATATTTGTTTTGCTTATATTTTGGCTTCTGCAAATACTGAAAGAATTGGATGCTCATATTTCCATCATTGAAACTAAAGCGTACATTGTTGAATATATATATATATATATATATATATATATATCCTAATTATAATATGCTGCTGTTGTTCAAACCAGCTGGTATTTCCATTTGACATCTGCCAGCAATATTGCTTTTGTGCTGTTTTGGGCAAAATATATTTTGACATATTTCAAATGAATTGGACTCACAAGAATGGTATCTGAAGTTTTCTTTGAAAAGCAACTCTCCCTCCCTACTATGCTGAGATCAGAGATCATCAGTAACTTATTCATGGCAGTCGAAGTTGGCAGTGGCATGTGTTTGAATGGAGAAGGGGTAGAATGATAAGCATAATATCACAAAGTCACCCCCGTGCCTAATTTAATGAGAAGGAAGGAAGGAAGGAAGGAAGGAAGGAAGGAAGGAAGGAAGGAAGTTTAGTTTAGTTTAGTTTAGTTTAGTTTAGTTTAGTTTAGTTTAGTTTAGTTTAGTTTAGTTTAGTTTAGTTTAGTTTAGTTTAGTTTAGTTTAGTTTGATTTATATACCACCCTACTCCCGAAGGACTCAGGGTGATGAACAGCCACAAGATAAAACACATAAATACAAAATTTAAAAGCAAAATAAAACCAAATTAAACAATTTGGCCGAAGACAGACTTAAAACACCCCACTAATTAAAAACAAATTAAAATTTGTATTTTAAAAAGGGAAAAAAGGGAAAAAGGGAAAAATTAGGCCAGGCCCGCCTGATGGAATAAAAAAGTCTTGAGACCACGGTGGAAGGTGCGTAGATCCGGGATCCTCCGTATCTCCGAGGGGAGCTCATTCCAGATAGTAGGTGCCCCCACAGAGAAGGCTCTCCCCCTGGGGGCTGCCAGTCGACATTGTTTGGCCGACGGCACCCGGAGGAGCCCCTCTCTATGAGAGTGTACCGGCCCGTGGGAGGCTACTGGTGGCAGCAGGCAGTCTCGTAAATAACCAGGTCCTAAGCCATGGAGCGCTCTAAAGGTGGTAACCAAAACCTTGAAGCACACACGGAAGACCACCGGGAGCCAGTGCAGCTTGCGCAGGAGAGGTGTTACATGGGAATGCCATGTCGCTCCCATAACCACCCGCGCGGCCACACTCTGCACCAGTTGGAGCCTCCAGGTGCTCCTCAAGGGGAGCCCCATGTAGAGAGTGTTTCAGTAGTCCAGGCGGGAAGTGACAAGGGCATGAGTGACCGTGCATAAGGAGTCCCGATCCAGAAAGGGACGCAACTGGTGAATCAGGCGAACCTGATGAAAAATCCTCCCGGTCACGGCTGTCAAATGCTCTTCTAAAGACAGCCGCGAATCCAGGAGGACGCCCAAGTTGCGAGCCCTCTCCGTGGAGGGCAGCGATTCACCCCCAATAGTCAGAGATGGCACCAACTGACTATATCGGGACGTCGGAAACCACAGCCACTCGGTCTTGGTTGGGTTGAGCCTGAGCCTGTTTCTCCCCATCCAGATCCACACGGCCTCCAAGCACCAGGACATCACTGGAAGGAAGGAAGGAAGGAAGGAAGGAAGGAAGGAAGGAAGGAAGGAAGGAAAGTTTTTTTTACAACACTGCCTTTATTAATTTAGGAAGGCATACTTCAAACAAATGTAGATTTTTCTGGAGGGAAAAGTGATGTAAATCAGTTAAAACAATTGTCTGGGAGCAGGCAGTTTATCACTTAGGTGATTATCCTTTTATATTTTTACTTTGCTGGGTGAAATATGAAACAATTTGGCATGACAGAAAGCTGGTTTTTCTATCTGACATCTCCAGTCTCTCAGATATATTTCATATTTGAGATTAACATCCCCAAATCCCAAATTCTGATATTTAGGCACTCAGTAGCAGTTTGTACATTTAGTAAAGGAAACTTTCTGAGCATTATGGTCATCATCATGTAATAAGGGTAGTACATAAAATTATCTGCTACAATGTCCTACCTATCAATGACTACTTCAGCTTCAACCCCAACAATACACAAGCAAAGGTAAACTGCTCCAAACTCAATTACAGAAAATACGACTTCAGCAACAGTGGTCAATGCCTGGAATGCACTACCTGACTCTGTGATTTCTTCCCCAAACTCCCACAAGTTTAACTTTAGACTGTCTACTGTCGACCTCACCCCATTCCTAAGAGGTCTGTAAGTGGCATGCATAAGCGCACCAACGTACCTACCGTCCCTATCCTAATGTTCCCTTTATCATCATTATCACACAATAACCTGTGCCAAATATAGATGATCCTTCTTTTAGAAAGAAATAACCATAATGCTTCACACTATTTTTTTTTATTGACCACTTTATGGAAACAAAGTGTTTTGTCATTTTTTTTAAAAAAACTCAGCATTGTGATTGTCCTGGTTATCTTTGCAAAGGCCAAGGTGGAAACAAGTTTTGTTGCAAAATAAACAGTTTTAAATTGCATCTTCCCCTTCCACTGAATCAGGCTGATATTAGCCAGGTGCACTGAGGAGAAATTTAAATATCTTGATGCTCCCAAGTTCTCCAAAATAACAGTTCTGCTGAATCCATAACATTTCAAGAAGTTAGAACAAAGATCCATTGTTTGCTCCTCCAGTTTTGTTTTTCAATTTACATTTATACGTGCAACTCAAGTAGATGAGCATGTCATTTTTCTGACCTGAAATCCATTCTATTCTGTTTCCACATCAATTTGCGATTCTGATTTCTTTTTCACTGGTAAAAACAAGTACAGATATGGTTGATGAATGAGCAGATCAGAAACAATGTTTGGTCATATTCTCCAACTCTAAACCCATGCCCTTACTTGCTGTAATTATGCTGCTTTCATACTTGAACACTTTTGTCATCATGATCTGCTAGAATGCATTTTGGTTTAATATGTTATGTGAACCCAGGAGTGGTGCAGTGGCCTAGAGGTGGAGCTCTCGCCTCACAATCAGGAAGCCGTGAGTTCAATCCTAGGTAGAGGCATATACAGTATTTCTCTCTCTGGGCACAATGAGAATATATCTGCTGAACAAAACTCCGCATTGGCAACAGGAAGGGCATCCTGCCAGTAAACACCCTGCTAGCTCCATTCAGTTGCCCAGACTCCACCCTGCAAGTGATTATGGGGTCGTTAAAAGAAGAAGATGATGGTGATGTTGTGTGAACCCACCATTGTGGTTTGTAATCCAGGGTTTTGGTCCTAGCTTGCTGTCCAAACTCAGCTGATTTATTCAAGCCATGCTTGAATATATGGAGCCAACGGCCAGCATTTATCTTGTCCTGAATGATATATAATATATATCATTAGATAGATAGATAGATAGATAGATAGATAGATAGATAGATAGATGATAGATGATAGATAGATAAATTCTTATTCACAGTAATACATACCAGTGGGTTGTTTCAATCCCTCCCTTTGAAAATCTGTTGACAAGCCCAACAGTGGATGTATCTATCTATCTATCTATCTATCTATCTATCTATCTATCTATCTATCTATCTAATCTATCTATCCTATCTATCTATCTATCTATCTATCTATCTATCTATCTATCTATCTAGTGGTGGGATTCAAATAATTTAACAACTGGTTCTCTGCCCTAATGATTTCTTCCAACAACCAGTTCACCAAACTGCTCAAAAAGTTAACAACCGGTTCTCCCGAAGTGGTGCGAACCGGTTGAATCCCACCACTGTATTTATCTATCTATCTATCTAGGACAGAATAAAACCTTCCTTTCCTTTCGTGAGCCCATTCTTCAAAGAGAGTTTGGTCAAAATGCCATTGTGATGTTCTGCAGCACTGAGAAGTGATCCATCTTAGCTTTGTACCTTTAACCAGGCCATGTACCCTGTTCATTATTTCCTCCTAAACAAAATCTTGTGAAGAGCTACCTTTGAAAGCCCCCTTTATCTTCATTAAAGTGTCATGCAAGCTGACAAAAAACTTTGTCATTGAATTCCAGCAGTTCTGTTAGGCTAACAAGTTGTGAAAGTTTGCAGAAAGAAGCAGTATTTGTAGAAAAACCTCCGGAACAGAGTAAATGATTCCTTAGCTGGCTTCTTCTCGAGGGTATCTTTATGGCTCTGCTCTCTTCTGAAATTGAGAAAAATCAAAGGAGACGACCAGGCTGCCTTTTTTTCCCCCCTATCACTTCCCAGAAGAAATACTTGGCTTTAGGTTGTGGAAAAAGAACAAATTACCAATGATAAAATAAAGGCTTGTGGGTCTTGCAAGCGCATGGGCGAGGGGGGGGGGGGGAGAAGCCAAACAACAATCCTGCAACAACAAATTGATAGCTTTCTCCATGTTGGAATTCAAGTGTAACTAAAGATGGGGAGTCTTTTGGGAGCTAGTCCCTAGACTACTGTTTTTGCAAGAACTGGAAGGGAAAAAGATCTGCAAATTACTAGGAAAAAAGCAAAGCCCAGCTCTGGGTTTCTGCTTTTATCGTCTGCCAATTAGTACCATTCTATACAAGCGTTTACTAATTTCTCAAATGGTTCTCAAAAAGCCAATGTGGTTTTCGTAAAAACAGTTGTGTCATCTAATATAGCACCGATATTATTTTGTTTTGTTTTTTTTTTAAAGTCATATTTCAGGTTTTGTTTTATTTTAAAACACTCTGCTTTTCTTTACTTCAGAATTTTCAAAGCTGCAGCAATGGAGGCAGAATGAATAATGACATTTGAAAATACAGAATGAACAAACGCTACTGGTAGGATTACAGCAGAGATCTATTCTATTTTATGATATGTAGATAAAGGGGAGCTGAGCTCTCATCCTAGCATTGGACTGAGCTGTATGCAAAGGGAATTCTACACATAAAATCATAGGGTTGAAAGATAGCTTGGAAATCTTCTAGTCCAACCACCTTCCCAGGACAGGACTTTCCATACCCATCCTGGACAAACGGATGCTAAATGTTGATTTGAAAACCTGGATTGAGCAGGTTGTTTCACCTCTTAATAGCTCTCCCTGTTGGGAAATTCTCCCTTATTTCAACCTTAAGGAACACCTTCCTTAAGGTTTCACTAGTTTCATTAGTTCTTGTCTTACTCTCTGGCACTATGAAGAATTAATCCACAGCCTCTTCCATGTGTCAGTCCTTTAAATATTGGAACACTGCTATTATGTCTCCTCTTAGCCTTGCCTTCTTCAGGTTAAACATACCCAGTCTCCTTAAGAATTCATTCATTCATTCATTCATTTTTTTAAAAAAAGAAACTGCCCACAGCTGAACCTCTTAGGGTGATTTACAATTAAAAAACCTCACCAAATAATAAATCCAATACAATACCATGCACTATAAATGCTGTTTCAATAAAAAAAAAAAGTAAAATAAACACCATATACCCTATTCAACATCAAGGCTGTCGTTCAGAACTAAAACTGTGTGAATCAAAATACAATTAAAAGCCAGTTTAAAAGCCTGAGAAAATAAATAAGATCTTCACCTGGCACTGAAATAATGCTAAGGTCGGTGCCAGTGAAGCACCTCTGGGGAGGCAATTCCATACATGGTGAATCTAATTCTGTGTTAAGGATCTCAAGACCCTTGATTAGTGAGTGAGTAAATAGAACACAGCAAGATCAAGAAAATGGACTAATTTATTTCATGGCTAATATTTGCGATTCTTTAAGCAATGCTGGGATTTCCTTAAGAAAATTATTTTGAGGTGAAAGTATTGAAGAAAAAAACATTGTCATTAGTTCATATATTTTGGGAGAAATGAAGAATGTCCTCCCCCCCCCCGCCATAATAATATCTGCATCTAGTTGTGAAAGAAAGAGGAAGGGAGAGTCTCTCTCTAACACAAACATACATGCACACACACACACACACATATCTTCCTTACTAGTAACTTAGATTGTGAAGCCAGTACAAAATTCTCCCTGGGCATAAATGTGATCCTTTTTTTTTATTAATACCGACATCACTTTGTGATGAAGTCTGCCAGCCACCTCCATCTGCCATATCCACCACTGATCACCAGTTTAAGCTTTCCCAACTGAGGAGGGAAATGGAATTATTTTTCATTGCCTTCTGCCCATGCGACTGGCAGCCATAACAACAGTCCCATCTGTTCTTTCTCTTCAGATTAATCCCACTCAGATTTGTATTTTCAGGAAGTTCTCATGAGAAGGAAGGAAGGAAGGAAGGAAGGAAGGAAGGAAGGAAGGAAGGAAGAGAAGGAGGGAGGGGAAGGACGGAAGGAGGGAGGGAAGGACAGAAGGAGGGGAGGGAGAAGGAGGGAGGGACAGATGGACGGAAGGAGGGGGAGGGAGGGAGGGAGGGAAGGAAGGAAGGAAGGAAGGAAGGAAGGAAGGAAGGAGAAGGAGGGAGGGAAGGATGGAAGGAGGGAGGGAGAAGGAGGAACAGATCGATGGACGGAAGGAGGGGGGAGGGAGGAGAGGAGGGAAGGAAGGAAGGAAGAAGAAGAAGGGAGGGAAGGACAGAAGTAGGGAGGGAGAAGGAGGGACAGACGGACGGACGGAAGGAGGGGGAGGGAGGGAGGAAGGGAGGGAAGGAAGGAAGGAAGGAAGGAGAAGAAGGGACAGATGGACGGAAGGAGGGGGAGGGAGGGAGGGAAAGAAGGAAGGAAGAAAGGAAGGAAGGAAGGAATTTATTTGTGCAATTCCAACAGATTTGTCACTATTTGCATATATAAACACATTTTGTGTATGTGTGGACAGGAACGAGATGACAGGGCTCCCTGTGTATTGTTAATGTAATTCCCCCCCACTTTTTCTTTTTCTTTTTGCTTACAAACAGGGATGTCACAGCTCCTAAATCACCGAACCGACAGTACACTCTGTAGTTTACTGGGCTAGAGGCAACAAAATGAGATGTCGACACATACATCTTCCAATTGTCACCTTGCATCACACTGCACATTTTGAACAGGACGGCACAGTGGCAGTTCCTCCCTGGGTTGAAGGCTGCAATTGAGATTTCATTACGGCCTGGATTCCTACTTTTCCTTGGCCTTCCATTCCTTGTTTTCCATTCAAACCATTTCATTTTGTTTTAAAAATTCCAGCTTATTTCTCCGCCTATGTATTGGATCCTTCCATAAAAGGGGACTGAAATAAACTAAAATGCAAGTTCGATTTTTATTTTTATTTTTTAAACACCATTCCAAAAATATTAACATATGCTATTTTCAGAGCTCCAGCCAACAATGGAGAAAAACAAGCCAGAAACACAACCAGAAAGTTAATCACATCAAAATAAACAAGCCAGTGTTATTATACGATTCTAAGTCTGAGTTGCTGCCTAGGAACTTTGTTGTGATTATTAAAAAAGCTTGTTTGTTTATCATTTTAAGTGGAGAGCAGAAAGCTTAGGAATGTTTGGGGACTGAGGTCAAACCAAGATATTGCAATGAATCAGGGGTGAAATTCAGCAGGTTCTGACAGGTTCTGGAGAACCAGTAGCGGAAATTTTGAGTAGTTCAGAGAACCGGCAAATACCACCTCTGGCTGGGCCCAGAGTGGGGTGGGAATAGAGATTTTGCAATATCCTTCCCCCAGGAGTGGGGAGGGAATGGGGATTTTGCAGTATCCTTCCCCTGCCACACCCAGCAAGCCACACCCACAGAACCGGTAGTAAAAAAATTTGAATTCTACCACTGCAATGAACATAGGTTTGTCACTGTAAATAGATGCCCATCTTCTCATCTCCAGCCTTGACCTGCTGACTTTTTTCTGCAACACTTATGAAACCTCAGCAACATTCATTCTTGGCTGCCGATGGTAAAAATCCAGTGTCCCCCACACTAAAGAGAAGGAGAAATCAGTAGGCTGCTTTGGGCAAATGTTCTACACTTGTTTTCATCATTACTCAGCAAAATGTCAGAAAGAAACCCAATAAAGGCAGTCTCTACTGTATTTTTTTTTTAAAAAAAGATTGATTTCACAGTGCACTTCTACAGCTGCTCCTCTTTTGTATCCATAATCCTGGGGGCAACTTTTAGGAGGCTCTAAATGACTCTTCTTTCTAATCTTTCTGCTTCCTTATGTTAAAATAAAACCAGGGCTACATGTTTTAATTAGCCCAATTAACAGAGTGATCAGCAAAAGGTGTAATGGATTAATCAGTGGGGACCGATTGTAATCAGCGAAGGCAAAGTTTACTGAGACAGAGTTAAAGGCGTGTGTCTTTATTGTTCAATTGCCATACTCTAAATAAATAAATTTATTGTTAAGAAACATTTGCACCGTGATGTAACTTTATAATAATACAAATACAAAGGTGACTGCCAAAAACTACGGAATAGGTTATTCTGCCTTTTTTACCGCTTAGCTTTTATTATATTGGTAATTTTATGCTTAGTAACTGCCTTCTTTAGTTCACAGTTACGATAATGATGTAAAAGTAACTTTGCGACCAATCCTTGCACTTTGGCATGTCTCTAAAGCAAGTCCTTGTGGCAGCCCTTAGATATCAGAACATTGCTATCATGTCACCCCTAGTTCTTTTTTTCATTACTAGACATACCCAATTCCTACAACCAGTCCCTTGAGTTATTAAGATTGGTTTTCCTTCCATCATTTAATGTGCCCAATCCAGACTGGTAATTCTGTATTACACTCTAGCAAATGACCAATGTAACCTTGATTCATATGATATAGAAATCTATGGTTTTAACCAGAGTTCACACACTGCTTTAGCAGGCAGTATAAAGAAGAGATGATGTAGAACATGTTTGTTAAATAACAGCTTCAATGTTTGGCTCCTGATGGTCTGTTTCCAAAACTGATTGAAACATTTCCAGAGCATTTTATGAGATTCCTTGGCAAAAAGCAAATATTCTAAGGTGCATGCCTCTTGGGCTCCATGAGAATAGCCTTTTTATGGCCAAAGCTAGAGATTAATTTAGGATAACAGTTCGCGAGTGAGATAGCATAATTGAAAATGAAGTGAGAGGATTAGAAATGATTTTCTTGGTTTCTCATTTTAACAGCTGGATGAGAGTGAGAAGACTTTGTACAATGTTCTGCCTCACATTCCTACTTATTCTGCTTTAAAGAACAATAAAGCAACCCTAGGAAATGGGCATTCGTTCGTGCTGCAAATTCAAATGGTATCTTGGATTATATTCACTAAATAGATGAAAATATCCATTACCACTGGGAAATGCTGAGTTTGGCCGAAGAGGTTGTAGAAAATTGCTTTTAAAAGTAAAAAAACCAGTAAAAAAGTAAAAAAGCCTCTGATGATCATGAGGCTCAGCTGGGCACGGGGGGGGGACACAGGGATTTTTGCTACCAGTTCTCTGAACCACCCGCCACCATCTCTACCGGATCGGGAGATCTGGTCCGAACCGGGAGCATTTCACCCCTGATCTATCTGATCTTTCCTGAATTTATTTTCTGACAGCTGCACAGTGGAGTTGCCAGCAGTGGTGAAATCCAAATTTTTTTACTACCGGTTCTGTGGGCATGGCTTGGTGGGCGTGGTGTGGCTTGGTGGGCGTGGCTTGGTGGACGTGGCAGGGGAAGGATACTGCAAAATCTCCATTCCCACCCCACTCCAGGGGAAGGATACTGCAAAATCCACATTCCCTCCCCAGAATTTCCTGCTGGATTTCATCCCTGGTTGCCAGGGAGGATCTGCAACTCAACTTGAAATGTTCCATCAAGAATTGAAGATGTACAGTATAATTCACCTGGGCACTGTTGTGATTCATATAATGTACCTGCTTCATGTAGCCAAATACATGAAAATGGGTCTTGAAAACCAAAACCGGCACGGTTGGAACACTGAGCAAAAAACAAGCACTGTAAACCTTGGGAATCTGAACAAAACCTCCTATTGATGGTGATGGGCTTTATGGTATCTTGTATTGTCAGAGGAATTCAGAGGGCAAAAACTGTTCGACAATGGCCTAATGGAAGGATATGATGGTGGCCCTTTCCTCCAGTGGGAGTAATATCCTTAATATTAAGTGCTCATTATAACAAGACAAGCACAAGATTCAAACTTTAAATCAATGGAAAGCAATCCTGTACTGTTTAAATGACAGAAATAGGGAGCAGAGGGGCAAGAGCTATAATATAGGACTCATTCAACTTTATAGAAAAATTACCCAACCATCTGAGACAGTAGTGGGATTCAAATCCCGTTGCTACTGGTTCGCTTGTGGACGTGTGCGCACTCACACGTGCACGTAATGTGTCTGCGCATGTGCAGAGACATCCAGGTGGGTGGGCGGAGCCTCCCATCACCGGCGCTACCAGTTCGCCCAATCCGGGGCAAACCGGTAGCAACCCATCACTGATTTAAGATGCAAGGACGATACTACCCTCAATCTTTTATAAGTTGTATGCTGGCCCAAGTATCCTGCTATCCCTCATTCTCATCTCCTCCTGTTGTTAAATGATCACATTAAGCCTACCCAGATAATTGATATCCTCTAGCATTTATTTATTCAATTTATATTCCATCTTCCTATTAAAAATTCAGGGTGGTAGAGATTTTTATTTTTTAAAAAAAGAATTTAAAAAAAGATGATAGTAGGACAATGAAAACTGCAAATTGTCTACTTTTTCGCAATCAAAACTCTAGCTAAAAGCAAGAATGTCATCTCTTTTAAAAGTGGAGGTCCCTTGTGACCATGTCCAACTCCATAATTATATATTGAAAAATCTAGGAGTCATACCTGTTCAAATACCAAATAAAATAGGGCTCTGAAATCTGCCCACTTTGCAGATCTTTATGTCAAACATAGTCTTTAAACATTATCACAAGTATGGATATAAAATAAGTCTTTGAGATTTATTTGAAATAAAAATGTCATGACCTGCCAAAGTAGATTCTAACACAGATGCAGCAATGAAGAGAGTCTGCTACTACCTGCTATTCTTTATTAGCAATAGCAATACCACTTAGACTTATATACTGCTTCACAGTGCTTTACAGCCCTCTCTAAGTGGTTTACAGAGTTAACATATTGCCCTCAACAATCTGGGTCCTCATTTTACCGACCTCAGAAGGATGGAAGGCTGAGTCAACCTTCGGCCTGGTGAGATTCAAACTGCCAAATTGCAGACAGCCAGCAATCAGCAGAAGTAGCCTGCAATACTGCATTCTAACCACTGCACCACCACAGCCATTAAAGATTTACACATGTTATTATATTACAGAGGAGTTAGGCAAAAATCAGCACATTTTAAACGAAGCAATTCTGAAGAGTAAAGTTTAGTGGAACATGCAAATCATAAAAAATGTATGGACAAAAACGTCTATTCAAATTCAATTGCATGGCTTATATAAAGCAAATATAAAGTGCATTTGGGATAGATATGTTGACAATCCATATCTACATTCCAATAACCGATTTTCTCTAGTTTCTAATTTGACAAAGTAGAATACTCTTTCTAGAACAAATGTAACACATTTGAAAAACATAAAATTAAACCCTTATAGGACTGTTTTATTGCAGCAAATGCTTCCAAAATGCTCCAGAAATGGATCATTTTCAATTTAGGGACTTTTGAGAATCCCAAAAGAAAAAATGTCTTTAATAAGCAAAGCGAGGGGAAGAAGTCTACTTTTGCAAAGACTGGGTGAGCCAGGAGCAGGGAAGTATTAAAAGCCTCACTCCATTCAGATTAGCCTGGTGCCCACAGCAAGGAGGTAAGAATTTGCCAACTCCAAGATCCTTCTTCAACTAGCTACATGGCTGATGAACCTGATGATTGATAAACCTTAGGTTTAGGCTTCGGGGGGTGGGGGAACTGTCTAGCTGTGTGCCTCCAATTTGTCAGACTGGGATCAACTCTTTGAGAATCAAAATAAATCCTTTTAAAAATCTGTCTAACCCACCAGGTAGGTTTAAATAGAACAGTTGGTGCCTAATACCTCTTCCGAATCTTGCCAGGCTCCAAATGGTCTGCTCCTGCCTCCCCCTCATTTGTCTTGCTTCTATCTGAAAATAAAATGTGCCTCAGAGCAAATAGAAAAGGGGAGCAGTGATGGGGAAAGAGTGGGAAAGGGGAAAAAAAAAACCACCCCTAACATTATAAAAACTATCGCCCAAGCTCTCAGCCAGCAACCAAAGATACATGGGGACAATTAAAGCATATGGGCTCCTCTATGCTCTT